CCACCTGCATAAATGTGAACCATGGATTAAGTAAGGTGCACAGTCACTAGCACAGGGCTAATTTGGTTTCCCAACAAAGTGCTACTTCCCCCTATTCGCCCAGAGGGTGTACCAGGCCTATCACCTAGGCTGCTACTTCTTTGCCACGCAGGGGGTTCTCTCTCAGGGGGACCAGTGAGTCCTGAGGTTTCCTCCTTTCCAGCACCAGGCTTGCAGATAGGCCTCATCCCAGCAGGCCTCCAGGCATTCTTCCTCTCTCCTTCTACCACCCGACTCTCCAACTCCTCCTAATGAGCAGACTCTAACACCTTTGAAGGGAGTCCTGCCCCTTGCCAAGCCTCCTTTTGGGGATAGGCTGAAGTCCCTCAAAGATGCAGCCTACCACACCACAGATCAGCTTACTGCCTACAAGACCCTCCTCCGGAACCCTCAGAACAGAAGAAAATTCCAGTGCGGCTGGCCTGCAGAGGTTCTCAGGCCTGACCCAGCTCCTGTCTAACCATTAGGGATCTAGCTCCACCTAGTGTAACTAGAAGGTTGCTACAGTAGCATCGGGACACAATGGATGTCTTTAGCTGCCATTGTGCTTTGCTGGGCTGCTGGTGTGTTCCTGCTCCTACAAGAAGAAATGAACTGCCTCCAGGCTTACCTGTCCTTAACCACTTCCAGCCAGATGTATTTGTACCTGGGTGGAAGTGGTTATACCAGGATCATGGCTGCAACTAGAACCATGATCCCGGCACCAACTTTTCAGCCAGCGACCAGCTTTCAGGTAAAAGTGATTGAGCGGCTCTACAGCCAACTGACCACCAACATGGCTGGGATGTAGGCATCCCCTCCTGCTTCTGCCTGCTGACATTTCCAGGGTCTCCTGTTCCACTGAGGAGCCTGGAACTGCTGCAAATGGTCAGGGGGGCTGAGCACAAAGAAGTAGAAGGAACATCCATTCCTCCTGTGTTGAATGATCCTGAGGATTTTGTCACTTTTGGTTTTGGTTGTTTGTTTTCTGGCATTTACCAGTCAGGCAAGCATCTGGTCAAATCAATCTCAGTTTGATTAAATGTTTTGGAGGGCATATGCGGGATCACTACCCCAGCTATCACAAAGGATGGTAATAAAGTTGAATAAAAAATGTATAAAAAACAGTGTAATTATATAAATTTAAAGAAAACAAATAATACAATTTAAAAAAACTTAAAGTACCCCAACCCTAAATACTCACATGCAAATAAGAATGTGCGCGTAGGTCTCATGTGCGCATGAAAACAGTGATTGCACCGCACATGTGAGGTAGCACCATGGACGTCAAAGTAAGATCATTGTTTCTAGCAAGTTGGTAACTTCTTATGACTTTAAAAAAAGACATTTTAAATCTTGACATGTTTGTTATCTAAAATATAATCTTTTATATTTTACCCAAAAATTTGGTATTATATTGTGCTTGTATGCACCACAATGCATTTAAGCGTATTTTTCCTGAAAATTTGCATTTGATGAATGGCTGCACAAATATCGTGCTACATAAAAAATTGCAACAATTATTTTATTCTCTATGGCCATTTACTTTCAGAAAATAATGTTTATAATGTGTATAATGTTTTTTGGGTTTTAGGTAATTTCCTAGAAAAAAATGCTGATTTTAACATGTACGTGAGAACTGTAAAATTGCAATAAGCAAGTGGTTAATTTACCTGTTGCTATATACAGTATGATCCAGGGGCGGACTGACCATTTGGAAACTCGGGCAGTGCCCGAGGGCCCGGGGTCAATAGGGGGCCCCATGAGATGCCCCTGGTATCTTTTTCATAGGCTTTTTTGAGTTTGGGCAAGGACACAGGGGCCCCATGATCCCCTATTGCCCGGGGGCCCCATGAGTTGTCAGTCCGCCCCTGGTATGATCCAATATGGAGACTCTCAAAGATTAGATCTAGAGGTGGATTATACAGAGAGGACATTTCGAGGCAGTGCAGTTTCTACATATGTTTGCAAATGTTGCAAACTAAACCTCTTCTTTTAATAGAAATTGGTAGACAGTGTTGGAAACACTTTGTGCTTGATTCAGTATGATTATCAGATTCCTGGAGTGGTGAGCTATCACTATTCCCAATCACACAGTTGAACTGGAGCTGGAGCAGAAAGCCAATGATGATGCCTACTGGGGAGACGTTAGCTGAAAGGAATGCTGCCAAGTGTGCTCTGGCCTCCTGCAGCACCTCCTTCTGACCATTGAGAGGATACATGTTTTTAATATGCAAAACTAATGCCTGGCACTGGTGCTCCCAAAGTAGAGATGAGGGGGTCCGTGGATGCATTCCATGTAGGGCTTAATCAATGTTGTAACCATTACTAGAAAAACTGCAGGGAGGATTATCAAAGAACATGTTGGCCCTTTATATATATAAGCACATTCGCCTTCTTACTGCAGATAAAATTATGCAATTGTATGCAGGTTATCTCTACACTGATCAAAACACGACTCTTTTTTATAAATAAAATATAGGATGGCAGATAAAGGCAGTAGACTGCGCACAGATGCCCAAGTCCTGGCAGCTAGTAGCACAGTTGAAACTGGACTACTTTATCCTGTTGGGATCAGAACGTAGAAAAAAATGGGGTCTCCAAAGAGTTCCATTTCAGTGCTGGAAAACCTAGAGTAAGTAATAGCATTCATCTTCCAAATAATTTATTATATGTGTACTATATGGAATTATCTTTAAAAGGATAGATTAGAATCACCTACTGAAGATAAACACAACCGAATAAATTCCAGTCGTGATTAATTATGAAATGAAGCAAAACATTTCTGAAATGTTTTATGTGTTTATGATTGGGTTGCAAGGAATTGGCTAGTTTTCACAGATATGGTCAGGCTGCTGAGAAAAAATCAACATTTTTCAGCTACACACACTCATTTAAGGTGACATATAATGTACAAAATAGCAATTTTTAAAAAAGCACTTAAATGTAAAATGTGGAGTGTTTTGTATCCTTTTCACAACCTTTTGTACTTCAGAAAAAATATATTTACATATGTGCACATACTTTCTTGATGATATTTTAGTGTGATAATCCATGTAATACATTTTCTGTTGCGTGTCTGAGCAGTTTAAGTGTTTCCTGCCAAGATCTATTAAAGTAGAACTCCGGGCTAGAGTATAAAATGCATTAGCCCAAAGGCAATTTTACTAATGTACACAATCTTACTTGTGTTTTTCACATTTTATTGCAAAGAAGACAGGGAGACAAGAAGAAAAGAGACACAAAAAGGAGAAGTGATCAATACAGAAGACTATGTTATTAACCTCTTTCATCCTAGAACCTTTTCTTTCCTATACCTCCTTTAAATCCCAGAATGTTTTCTTTCAGAGATGTCTCAGTTCAAAAGCTTATACCTTGTAGCATTCTCAGATTACCCTAACCTTATATATTGTTTGTTTGGGAAAGATAGGGGTTTAATTTGATAGCAGAATGGATACATATATTTTTATTTCCTTGGTTTTAATAAGAAAGTACTAGTTAAAAATGAGAAAAATGCATTTTCCTGTAATTTTTCCCAATGTAACAGTTACAATATTTTCCTAGTCCTAAATATTTATATGTACATAACTGTCAAAGTTAAAAGGATATCACATAAATGCAATTTTTATGTACCATAGTAGAGTGACAAAGCTCAAAGTGAGCATTTGTGTTCTAATTTAAGAGAGCTTTCTTCCTCTTTTGGCACTACACTATGACACACTGTGTAAATTGCAAGCAAAAAAGTAAGATAAGATGAAGCCGGATTTGCATGCACACAAATTAGCACAATGGCGAAAAGCTTGCAATCGCTTAATCTCTGAATTACATTGTGCTTGCATCTGAAGTATTTGAGGCACACAAAGTAAATGCAGATGTCATCCACATCATTGGACACAATTGTTGGGATCTGGGGATTAATCTGGGAATTAAATTTTACAAATTACATTGTAGTGGCCTGTGCAGGCATTTGACACACAATGAAAGCAAATATCATCTAAGCCATCCAATATACAATATATATATATATATATATATATATAGTGACAGGACGAAGCTCGGTCACTGTGAAAATATAGCAAAATGTGACAAAGGATTTGCATTTCATATCAGGGAAGAAGATTGCTGCACTCACTCTTCTGGTGTACTCACACTCAAAATTAAATAAATGAAAAAAATGTGGTGCGCTATCTCATCATAAATAGCACCATAAGCTTTAGAAACATAAAGTGACAGTCCAAGGAAATGTTTTTCAGATAATAAACGTCCAATCCAGTATATGTTGAGTTATCATCCAGCAATAATCAACACCGTGCTTGACTTGGCCCCACTCCCTGCTCACCTTAACCATTGACCTATAGATTATACAGTAATATGCCAAAAACATGCTTTTTAAGGAAAATGTGTCTCCAAATTTCTGATCGGTGATGTGTTCCTTCCACATATTATGCTTCTTTAGACTCCAGATCCGTGCAAAATAAAAATAAAACAAAAAACATACCATGGTGCAACACCGTTTTACATAACCAAAAATTACTCCACCATGCTGACTGTATTGTGGTGTTTCCTATCACTGGGTAGATGAACATGCACTCACCTTCTTCCCTGACCTAACAAATAGGTCATACACGCTTTGGGATGAAACCAAATTCTGCTTATCCACTGCTGATCCTTAGTCGCTACTTCATTAGTTCTGGCCCTTTAAGGGGACATGCTCTCAGATATCCAGTGGAATTAAGGTGTATATGATCAAAAATAAAGGGAATAGATCATAGTGAAACCCCATAAAATTCAAACACTTTATTCAAATAAAAAATGCACTCATAATAGTAATTAATCAAAAGCAGACACATCCATCGGATTGCCAGACAGAGAAGTGTGATTGATCACTCCAGAGAACATGTCTCCACTGCTGTAGAGTTCAGTGGCAGCGTGCTTTACACCCCCCGTATCCACCGCTTTGCATTGCACTTGGTGATGTAAGGCTTGGATGCAGCTGCTCGGCCATGTAAACCCATTCCATGAAGCTCACTACGCACTGTTGTTGTGCTAATCTTAAGGCCACATGAAGTTTGGAAGTCTTTAGCTATTGACTCTGCAGACAGTTGGTGACGTCTGCAAACTGTGTGCTTCAGCATGCGCTGACCCCGCTCTGTCATTTTACGTGGCCTACCACTTCGTGGCTGAGTTGCTGTTGTTCCCCAGTTGCCTCCGCTTTGTTATAATATCACTAACAGTTGACCGTGGAATATTTAGTAGCAAGGAAATTTCACAGATGGGCTTATTGCACAGGTGACAACCTATCACGGTACCACACTCGAATTTACTGAGCTCCTGAGAGTGACCCATTCTTTCACCAAAGTTTGTAGAAGCAGTCTGCATGCCTAGGTGCTTGACTTTTACACCTGTGGCCATAGAGGTAATTGGAAAACTCGAATCCAATGATTTGGAGGGGTGTCCCAATACTTTCAATATAGTGTATGTATGTGTATATATATATATATATATATATATATATATTTAGTTGTGTGCAAAAGTTTGCATACCCTGGCAGAAGTCGTGAAATTTTTGAATTGATATTGAAAATATGACTGATCATGGCAGAAAACTATTGTTTATTTAAGGATTGCGATCATATGAATCCATTTATTATCACATAGTGATTTGGCTGCTTTTTAAATCCTAGTGATAACAGAAATCACCCAACTGGCCCTGATATAAAGTTTACATATCCTAGAATGTTTGGCCTTGGTACAAACTGACAAGATGACACTCTTAGGTTAAAATGGTAATTAAAGTTTATTTCCCACATTTGCAGCTTTTTAAAGCAGAACTCTACTCACCGCTGATCCCGTGATGCGCTGTCCCGGAGCTCCCCGCCTGGCCGCTGACATCTTTGGGTGGCCAGCTTCCATGTCCTGAACCCCAGCTGCTATCATTGGCAGGGCAGAGATGATGTCAGTCCCGCCATGCGCAGGAGTTCTGTCAAACTCTGCATTGCCTAATTTGTACAGTGAGTTGCGCCTGCGTGGCTCACTGTACAGAGGTTGACAGGCAGGTAAGTAGCTTTAATGCAGAATAGACAAAGCATGTCTCCTTTGCATTAAAATTCCTGCCTGTCCATCCATTTTTTATTTTTTACCTAAAGTTCAACTTTAAATAGTGTCTGTGTATAAAAAGTCAATGAGTTTGTTAACTCTCACGTGGATGCACTGAGCAGGCTACATACTAAGCCATGGGCAGCATGAAAGACCTGTGTAACAAGTTAACAGAACTTTATAAAGATGGAAAAGGATATAAAAAGATATCCAAAGCTTTGAATTTGCCAGTCAGAACTGTTCAATCACTTATTAAGAAGTGGAAAAATTGGGAATCTCTTCATAGCAAGCCAAAGTCAGGTAGACCAAGAAAGATTGCAGCCACAACTACCAGAAGAATTGTTCAGGAAAAAAGAAAAACCCACAGGTAACCTCAGGAGAAATACAGGCTGCTCTGGAAAAAGATTGCGTGGTTATTTCAAGGAGCACAATACAACAATACTTGAACGAAAATTAGCTGCATGGTTGAGTTGCAAGTTAGAAGTCTTTACTGTGTCAGTGCCACAAAAAAGCCTGGTGAGGCATGTCAAGGTGTTGTCAGACATATTTTAACTGGGATTTTTTTGCTTTACACATTTTATGGGGATGAGAGGACACTTGATCTGCTGCAATATTTAACTTCTAACAGTGATCTATTTCTGGCTGCAAGGGGAGGAAGTACAGAGTTGGATCAACTGGATGACAAGAGATGCCATGATATCACAGGTGTCAGGTGTATGGTTACTTCCTGCACTATGTGGGTCCCTCTGCTGGTGGAAGAAAGCCAAGGACACAACAGAGAAGCAGGCATCCGACACACCCAGAATGTTGTCAAATCAAGAACATTTTTCTGGCAGTGATAGAGAATAAAGATCAGCGCTGCATGCAGAAGGACAGGTGAATATTAACTGTAATCGTGTGTGTGTGTGTGTGTATTATCTGTATCAAATTTGGTGAGATTTTCTCCTATGTCCTGTCTACAAGAACTAACACAGGGATGCACACACTAAGGCCTCATTCACATGAATGCTTTCAGGCATTCAACATAAATTTGGTTGTATTTCCACACTTGGGGTTCGAGGGCCCTGCTCCTTGGAGCTTACAATCTAGGAGGGAGGGGATAGCGGTACACAGAGGAAATGGCTGTGGGGTGTGGAGTGGTAGGAGGAGTGGAGGAGATCGGCTGTTAGGTGAGGGCGGGCTTCCCTGAAGAGATGGGTTTTCAGGGTGCACCTAAAGGTGAGGAGGGTAGCTGACAGTCTGATGGATTGGGGTAGTGAGTTCCAGAGGATGGGGGAAGACCTGGAGAAGTCCTGGAGTCGGGCATGGGAGGAGGAGACCAGGGAGCTAGGGAGTAGGAGAGGAGATCTTGTGAGGAACGAAGAGTACATGTAGGGTGGTATTTGGATATCAGGTTGGTGAGGTAGTTTGGGGCAGTATTATGAATAGCTTTGTACGTCAATGTTAGTCGTTTGAATTTTATGCATTGGGCAATCGGAAGCCAGTGGAGGGAATGACAGAGGGGGGTGGCGGATACAGAGCGGTTGGTAAGGTGGGTGAGTCTGGTTGCTGAGTTCAGGATAGACTGAAGCAGAGATAGTCTGTGATGAGGTAAGCTGGTGGGGAGGGAGTTACAGTAGTCGAGTCGTGAGATAATAAGGGAGTGAATGAGTTGTTTAGTGTCTGGGGTTAGGAACGAACATATTTTGGAGATGTTGCGGAGGTGGAGCATGCATGAATTTGCCAGCGATTGGACATGGGGCTGGAGGGACAGATTGGAGTCCAGAGTGATGCCTTTGCCTTGCGAAGTGGGACTGATGGTGGCGTTATTGGTAATGTCATGTGCAACTTAGATGGCTTGAATATGGAATTCTCTCACCCTTTCCATGTTCTCAGTCAAGTGTTGGAAAATCTGTCTGTAGACGGGGCCCTCATTTCCTTGTGTTTCCTCCTTCAGAGATCACTTAGGTAGCAGCACTCCAGGTCGCCTGCTCTCAAGTCTGTCCACCCGACTTGTCACTGGCTTCAGCAGTGGCAGAGGTTAGATACTCTCCCTCTCTCTTCCACTGTCAGCAGTCTGGCCCAGCTGGGACCTCCAACACCCCACACAATCCTCTATTCACCCCTGCTCTCCTCTGCTTAGCTACTTCCTGTCCTCTTGTTCCCTACCTAGCTCTTCTGGTAAATGTAGTTTAATAGCTCCCAAACAGTGGAATCCTGCAATTCAGCCTATGAATCCCACAAAGTTTTTCAACAGAGTCTGTGCATGTGGTCTGCAGGACACTGCCAACATGTGTCCATCTAACATCCTGCAAACAGTATTTCTGCAGGGTGTTACATATAAGCAAACATTTTTTTTACAGTCCATTCTGGGAATTAAATTGTCACGCCATACTGTGTGCATGTATATATATTTATATATATATATACACATACTGCTCAAAAAAAATTAAAGAAACACTTTGAAAACACATTAGATCTCAATGGGGATATTGATATGGACTGGGTACTGTGTTGGGAATATAAGGATGCCCCATCATTTGATGGAAATGAAAATTATCAACCTGCAGAGGACTGCATTCAAAGACACCCCGAATATCAAAGTGAAAACAGGATGCCGCAGGCTAGTCCATGTTTGCTGAAATTTAATTGCAGCAACTCAAAATGGTACTCAGGAGTTTGTATGGCCCCCATATGCTTGTATGCATGCCTGACAACGTCGAGGCATGCTGCTAATGAGACGATGGATGGTGTCCTGGGGTATTTCCTCCCTGATCTGGTCCAGGGCATCACTGAGCTCCTGGACAGTCTGAGGTGCAACCTGGTAGCATCGGATGGACTGAAACATATCCCAGAGGTGTTCTATTGGATTTAGGTCAGGCGAGTGTGGGGGCCATTGAATGGTATCAATTCCATACTCTCGCCACATGAGGCCAGGCATTGCCGTGCACCAGGATGAACCCAGGATCTACTGCACCAGTATAGGGTCTGACAATGTGCTCAAGGATTTCATCCTGATACCTAATGGCAGTCAGGGTGCCATTGTCTAGCCTGTAGAGGTCTCTGCGTCCCTCCATGGATATGCCTCCCCAGACCATCACTGACCCACCACCAAAACAGTCATGCTGAACAAACAGGCAGCTCAACGTTCTCCATTGCTTCTCCAGACCCTTTCACGTCTGTCACATGCTCAGGGTGAACCTGCACTAATCTGAAAAGCACATGGCGCCAGTGGCAGACCTGCCAATTCTTGTATTCAGTGGCAAATGCCAATCGAGCTCCATGGTGCCGGGCAGTGAGCACAGTGCCCACTTAAGGACGTCGGGCCCTCAGGCCACCCTCACAATGTCTGTTTCTGATTGTTTGGTCAGAGACATTCACATCAGTGGCCTGCTGGAGGTCATTTTGTAGGGCTCTGGCAGTGCTCATCCTGTTCCTCCTTGCACAAAGGAGCAGATACTGGTCCTGCTGATGGGTTAAATACCTTCTACAGCCCTGTCCAGCTTTCCTAGAATAACTGCCTGTCTCCTAGAATCTCCTCCATGCTCTTGAGACTGTGCTGGAAGACACAGCAAACTTTCTGGCAATGGCACTTATTGATGTGCCATCCTGGAGGAGTTGGACTGCCTGTGCAACCTCTGTAGGATCTAGGTATTGCCTCATGCTACCAGTAGTGCACTGACCCTAGCCAAATGCAAAACTAGTGCAAAACAGAAAAGATGAATAGGGAAAAAAATGTCAGTGGCCTCCACCTGTAAAACCATTCCTGTTTTGGGGGTCGTCTCACTGTTGCCCATCTAGTGCACCTGTTGTTAATTTCATTAACACCAAAGCAGCTGAAACTGTTTAACAACCCCCTCTGCTACTTCACTGACCAGATCAATATCCCAGGAGTTTAATTGACTTGATGCTATACTCTTTCCTTTCATTTTTTTGAGATATATATATATATATATATATATATATATATATATATATATATATATATATATACACATTATGTTATCTATCTACTTTTGATAATTTTATTATTGTTGTACTGTACACTGTACAAACTGTTGTCACTGACACTTGAAATGTTCAACCAAATGTTCTTTAGTTCAGTCATTCATGTAACAGTTGTCACATCTTCTACTGTTTTCAAAACAATAGTAGCCATCTGAGACCGGAAACATTATAGAGATATATATTGTACTGTTAACCACGAGGAGGCCTTCATTCCCCATGCGATGGCTTCTCCAACCAACAAAACACAAGCTGTGCTGAAATCGGATAGAATCATTAAAGAGATAATGCCTACAGGTG